GGTTTTTGCCTTGTTCGAAACTAAAACATGACCAAACATAACTAAATAAACTAAAAATATGATAAACAAATGTATTCTTGTTGTCAGATCAAAATACACTTAGCAAGCCAGTGCATTGATACAGATTATATTCTACTGAATTTACTATATCGATAATTTTACATTCGTTATTATTACGTAATATATATATAAGTCATGTGTCCAGGTGAGAAAAAACAACAGGTGGTATGTATACTAAAATGTTAATCGTCTTCCATTATACATGAGGGTGTGGATGGGGGTTTACAGGATAGAAAATAATGGTGACCAAAATAATTGACAAAAAAATAAAGAATAGAGAAAATAACAAACCAAATATAGAAAAGAGAATGATGAGGTACTGGAATATAAGGAATAAACAATGATGGGCAAAAAGTATAACGAATAGAAAAAATGGCCTAAAAATAATAGAATACAGAAATAATGAATCCCCTTCAAGACCCTCATAATTTGACGATGACATTTAGATTTAGGGCAATTTTGGGTATACGATACAGTTTTAAACGAATGTAGGACAGAAAGTCACAGGACAAAAAGTCACGGACAAAAAGTCACGGACAAAAAGTCACAGGACAAAAAGTTACACTTCAGTTTTGAGATTATTTTTCTTAAAACAAGAAAGCACTAATTTAAAAAAATAAATTTTTGTTTTTTCTTGAACCATTATATATGAAGCAACTTTATAATTAAAATGTATTCAATAAATATCAATAATGATCAAATAATTGTTATGAAAACAAAATATCAAAGTGGCTTAGTACTTAAATGGCTTCATTGTGCCAAGAAATATATCCTTTGCATAATCAAAATTTAATAAATTTTCATTTATCAAGGCTTATGAACAATTTCCTAAACTTAAAAATTAATAAATGTAATAAAAAGAAATTATTTCAAGATCTTTCTCTTATATATTCAAACAATTGTCAACAAATTATTTGTGACTTTTTGTCCTGTGACTTTTTGTCCTATCAAAGGAGTAGGTCCGGTAAGGGCCGATTTTGGCCTCAAATTTCAGGTTCATCTGACGAAAGATTTTTGACACTTTTTAAACACTTAAGTGTCTATTTCAGTTGATTCAATTAGTTCATGTGAAAGATTTTAACTGATTAAGTCATTAAAAACGCTCCGATTCTAGCTTAAATATGAAAAATCTATCAAATATGCCAAAAAATGTCACTTTTCAGATGGTTTTTGTCAAAAATGAAAATGGCCGCATCCGTGTTCATCCTCAACCTTTATATATGTTATGTATTATCATCAAATACAACTTACATTTCAATATTAAGAATGAACACAAATGCGGCCACTTTCATTTAAGACGAAAACCGTCTAAAATTTAACTAAAATGTTAAAATTGTGAAGATTTCAGTAACTTTGCACGAATTAATGATGCTAGTTCCCGATAAATGGGCATTGTATTTTCAAAAACAGCCCATATTTACGTAGCAGACGCATTCTTCTTTCCAATAAATAACTAAAAGTTTACATTTTAACAATTTTGTAAAACTGCTATATTTTCGGGCCAAAAAGGGGTCTTACTGGACCTACTCCTTTGTGACTTTATGTCCTGTGACTTTATGTCCTGTGACTTTATGTCCTGTGACTTTTTGTCCTGTGACTTTCTGTCCGTTTACCTTTTAAACCACAGTGATTTTTTTTAAAGAAAGTTTGCATACAAGCTATTTTTTACAAAATCAATTTGAATATATAATAACAAATATATCTTCATGTGCTAAATTTGAAAGGTAAATGGGTTTGAATTTTTCGACATTTACCTAAAATTTCTGTTTCTTGGACATTTCTGTCCTTTGAACAGACATCCTTAACTTTTTTGTTTCAAAAGATAATCATATATACGGATTTCGGTAAGGAGATTGGGAATATCTTCGTTACAAAATTGGGCTCTACACTTGTGTAAAAATTCTTTGTTAATAATTCATTTTTGTTAAAAGAAATTGATTTTAGAAAAAAAACGGCATTTTTGTTGTATATTTATCTAGTTTTAAAAAAAAAATCGGTGATTTCTTTATAAAAATTGGAACGAATAATCTTCATACAGTATCAAGCCAAATGTCATTTTAAGAACGAGGGGTACTCCTCCATGTGCTCGTTTTTAAGTTAATGGTTAAATCACTCGAAAAAAAATGCATCTTTTTCCGATATTTCACAGTTTGACGTCGCGAAAAATAACATTTTTACGTTAGCAATTAATTTGTCTATAAAAAGAGCGAATTCTACAATATATAAAATTCTGTCAAAAAATCATTTTATAGGTAAACATTATTAAGGTCATCCGAAAAAGTGATGAGAATAATAACATACTTATTCAATTTCACGCAATTAGTTTTAATGCTAAAAGTTTTATAAGAGAAAGTTTAATGTCTGACTATTTAGATTAATTCTGCGAATTGTTTTGTCTGCAAAAACATCATAGAGAGATAAAGAGAATGACAACCAATTGAATGTTTATTATTTTAAAAAAAAGACATGTAATAGAAATAAAACGACTAATTATTTTAGACTTTACATTTTGATTCTCGAAAATTCGTCCGCAGACATTTTTGATATTGAATTTGTCATTGTTCTATAGTTCCGTTTTAGTGATATGCAATTGTTTAGGGACCGTCGGGATCGGTTTTATCTTTCCAATTAAAAACGCATGTCTAAACTCCCGGTTACGCTAGCGCTTGACCGCAGAGATAACACGTTTTCGTTGATATTTATGTGATATGAGTGTCATATCCACCAGAGACCACATGAAGTGGATGTTAGCAACTATAGGTCAAAGTACAGCCTTTCAACAATGAGCAAAACCCATACCATATAGTAAGCTATTAAAGGCCCAATGTTTCAAAATGTAAAACAATTCAAACTAGAAAACTGACGACATAATTTGTGATAAAACAAGTGCCACTATGAGCTTTTGGTAACTGATGATACCCCCAGCTTAAAATATTCTGTAAAGATGAAGTTGTTTAGCAATGGATGTGAAAACCAATCAAACGATATAAACATGATCACATAATGTTGCTACCAAACTGCAGGGTGCTCTGAATTTTAGAAACTAAAAAGATGTGTCGCAAATGTCATACATGAGCATTATGTGTAAGAATATATCAATATGACGATTAACAGGAAGTTGATGAACGACTAATCTGAAAACGCATCACACGGTATGGTATGCCCATGAAACAAATAAAAAGTTTCATGAAACTCTGGTTTCTAGTTCCTGAGACAAATGCTACGGAAATTTCGTTGGGCAGACGGACATACAGACAAACAGTGGGTAAAACAGCATACCTCTCCTTATACGGGTGTATAACAACAAAGGAAAATAAAATATGACAAACAGGAACCAACGACAACCACTGAATTACAGGCTTCTGACTGGAGACAAGCTTTGAACAGAAGCCTTAAATGATGGGCCAAAAATATTTTATTCTTGCACATACAAGTGTCCTTAATGTAGATCCGCATCTTTTATATACAGAAAAGGTTATTATTTGTGACAATTCATCAAAGCCTATCAAAGATCTTCCATCGACACTTAATTTCATAAACTGACAAAAATAAAACAAAGAGACGAGCACTGACGAGATTCATGATTTTGGATAGGCACTTAAACAGGTGGAGGGGTTAAACTAGTTTTTCTTGTACTTTATAATACCTATCGGATGATCTGTGTAAAAAACACCGCGTACATAAAAGAACGTACGAAAAAAAAACAGCAAAGAAAAAGGCACATTAAAGCGTTCAATAGAAATAATTACAGAAATAGCACATTAAACTTTAGCACATTTTTTATAAACAACCCGTCCATTCTTAACTCTCTCGATTTTACATTTTGATCATGATGCCGGACTGCACGTCATTACTGAAGTACTAGTAAATTTAATTAATTGATGATCTGATTACAGAATAGAGAATAATGGGCCAAAAATGTGAAAAATAGAGAAAAATATGGCAAAAACATAAAGAAAAGATTATGATTAAGTGCTTATATAAAAAATAGAGAACAATAGGCAAAAAAAATAAAGAATAGAGAAAAATTACCTAAAAAAATCAAGAATAGAAAAAATGACATAAAAAATTAAAGAATACAAAAATGAAGGACCCACCATCCAGACCCTCATGCATGTCAAATATATATAAAAAATATAATTAAAATTGAGAATGGAAATGGGGAATATGTCAACGAGACAACAACCCGACCAAAGAGCAGACAACAGCCGAAGGCGACTAATGGGTCTTCAATGCAGCGAGAAAATCCCGCACCCGGAAATGGTCCTCAGCTAGCCCCTAAATAAAATTGTGTGCTAGTTCAGTGAAAATGGACGTCACACTAAACTCCAAAACATATAAATGAACTAAAATTAAAAAAACATACAAGACTAACAAAGGCCAGAGGCTCCTGAATTATATGTAATTGATGCATACTTATAATTATCATCATACATGTATTATCAAAATGTGAAAACTTGATAGTGTTGTCAGAAACATATTAATTAAACTAAATAATACGTATTACTTAACACATAAATTATAACAAATTTGATAAAAATAAATTATCAAATAATTAATACCATATAGTAAAATTACGTTAGTGTAGCGATAAGTGAACACAACAGGGGTCCAGTTTACAGAGCACTCTTCCTTTTCAAATTTCTAGATCCATGCATAAAAGTTGTTAAGAAGTATACTTTACTTTTTATACTGACCAGAGAAATTAATTATAACAACCACTGTTCGTCCTTTTTCCTGTTTTCAAATGTTGCTAGATCGTTTACCTTATAAACATTCTTTCAAAATGTATTTAATCTATTATTATTTCTTTTAATAACCTTATTGTAATGGATTATTTACGAAGAGTTTTCGCGCTCTATAATATTCATGATGTTGATTACGCTTTGACCTAATGTAAAGAGGGTAAACAAAAGTTTATCGCCCACGTCCTGTGTATATATAAATTCAAGATGTCTGACAACCGATTTACGTTATATTACTTCCATGGATCTTACTATTCACAAAAGGTAAATAACGCAGCTAGGGAAATATGATTAGTGGTTAAGACACACTTAAAAAAGTAAAGCGTCTATTTCGTTGTGCAACTGCATAAACACGCAGCCACGCTCGGTCAGTATTCATCATGATAAAATATAAAATAATATATGACTGGCCTTGGGGTCATGTTTATTTATTTTTTATATTGTATTTTACTTATATTGCTCTATGTTAGATTTTGACTTTTTCTATTTGCTGTTTTGCTAATGTGCCATCCGAGTCCATTGCAGCTATTTTGTTCCGTCGGAAAGAGCTCAAGAAATTTAACATATTCCGATTGGACTTAATTCGCATTAAGAAAACATCAAAAATGAATATATATATTAGCATAAAAACGTTAAAAATAGAATAAGAATGCTAAGTCATATGTTACAGGAATAATCAGTTGAACCTCATGAAAGGAAAGTGTCGCTCTCTTTCTGAACGTCAAAGATACTTTGCAACAACTGGTTGAGGATCCTTAGGCCAACTTTTGCTAGGCAACAGCCCCCCCCCCCCCCCCCCCCCCCCCCCCCTCGTTATAATTTTTTTCCATAGGCAGTCGTTTTTCTACCTCATTCGTCCCTGTCCAACACATTTCAATGAAACTTCCGACTGAATTTATTGATAATTTGACCTCGTCTTGAATTAATATGCATGAAATATTTGCTACTGGACTATGAACGAATGACATTCAATCAATCAACATTCATGGTTGGCAAGCATGAAGTGAGACAGGTTTGAGCATCAACGCGTGGGGAAAAGAAGATTTGGTGAACAAGAAAAAAGGATATGAATACTTGCAGCATCAAGGCACAGTTATGTATCCCGTAATTTTCAACAAAAGAAATCTGTCGCCCCTACAACTGTTATATCCGATTTGATTCTTGTATTAAAATGGTTTTTTTTTAGCACACAAATGGTTTCCCTTTATTAATTATAACCTCGTTCTTTATCAGACAAAATGGACTTTTTCCACAAAAAGCGTGATAATTCGAAAGTGACACTCCAACATTTTATCTAATTTTTCATGAAAAAATAAGTAACTGATATTAAAACTCTTTTTAGCTTTTCAAAACTTTGAATGAAATGAAAAACTAAAAGGTATACCATACGTTACGCTCACATAAATTTGCTTTTTCCGCTAACTACACATTGACAATGTAAATGTATGTCCCTCCAATAGGGAGACAACTTACAGAATGGATTTCTAATTACAGGGTCAATTACGAAATCTGAAAATAGACTCTCGCCTGGCAAAATATGGACGGTTATGAATTAAAATTCCTTGAACCTTGTCCTGTTGTCTACCATTTTTTTTTGTAATTGTAGGCATTGTTGGCCTTATTTGAAAAAGGATGTCAATTCAACAGAAAGGTTATAAATATCCATGCAGGAGAACAAAAAACACCGGAATATATGAAAATGAACCCACTAGGACAAGTTCCATTGTTAAAAGATGGAGAAAAAATTGTAGTGGAGTCGGAGAAAATCATCGACTACATAGACGAAGAAATTAAATCGGGTACGTAAATTCAGCAAGTGTAAAAAACACTTAACATATAAAGTATAAAGAATAACAAAGTCAAAGTAAAATAAAAATGATGATGAATACTTAGTACAAACTTTTCGGGATGTTCATGTACGGTACCCGTATATATTATACTACTGCAAAGGTGAATAGAAATATTTTCACTTGGTATTTTTCCGACCGGCAGTAAAACCCTTGCTAATGTGGGGCGTCTGTTTGGTTGTGTGGGAAGTATAAACTTGCAGCCATGTCCGGACAGAATTTGGGACATTAAATCTGATGCCTCGTGTAGAGAGAGTACCACGCTTTCTACACGCTGAAAACCCTTGCAACATCTTTTTAAGGGTCCGTTGGTGGCTTGCTGCCTGCAAAGCTAAACTTCAGTCCCTATCCAATTTATCCTCATTTTTTTAGTGGCAGTCCAAATTTCCCGCCCTTTAAATCGGTCGACCCTTATTACATCACAAACCTTTTGGATGTATTGTTAATTTGTTCTCGTCCTGAACATGTATGAAGGGCCCTCCTTTTCGTGGGAAAAATTTGGTTGATTATATAGGGAATCACTGAAGCGTGACTGGAGCGGGTCCCCCTTAGGTCAGTCAGCGCCCCCCACCCCCTTTCAAAAAGTTCTGGATCCGCCACTGAGTGCATCAATATAAAATTTATTTCCTTTTCTGGTATTCCAAGATATAATTTGATTGAAATGCACTAGAAATTAACAAACCTCCTCTTTGCCTATATCTGGGTCAAATAACACTAACACATGCATGTAGTCCTGTATATCGTAAAGGTGTTTAAGGATGTTAGCTACTCTGTTTTAAAATAACAAGCTTTTTAAAAGACTGTTATAAATTGAAATTATATAAATAATAGAACTTAGAAAGCAGAAAAAAATGAAAGGGACGTGTTCTTGTTTTTGGTATAATAAGCAAATGAAAATTTGGCGGGAAATGATTCTTTCTAGACTTTTCAAACATTTGACATTGGCACCTTTTTTCTTTAGAAAAATATGGTAAAAAAAGGATTTTTTTTCTGATTTTCAAAAATGGCTTTTTAAACTATATACATGTGAAAAAAATATGAAAAGAAAAGTGGGGGTTAGCGGGTAAAATTTTAATGACATGGATAAAACCATAGGATTCCGAATATCTGACAAAAGTCAAAAACAACGGTAGCGAACATCCTTATAGTGATTCTATTTTGTTTTTAAAACCATATACTATTGATTTTATTTCTGCATGTTTTTCCAGGGCCAATATTGGTACCTGGTCTAAGCACACCAGTGGGAAAAGAAGTACAAAGGCTGCGTCAGTTTATTGGTGCAATTAGAATAGAGATCACCACATTTGGGTTGTTTTTTAATCCTGAATTGTCTACTTCCGGTGTTAAAGTGCCCAAAAGTTACTTTAAACATTTGAAAGGTATTTTTTCAGTTTCTATTAATATCATTTTACTAAATTGTTAAAAAGTAGCAAAGTTAAGGTCAAAAGTATGAAATCGCGGCTAAAGTAAAAGCAGTTCCGATTAACCCAATTGAACAACTAAAGTTTACTGTTAAATTCTTACCAGTGCACAAGTACTTTCCATTTGAAACTGGTTGATGAACCCAGTATTTATGACTTTTGAAAGTCCTGCGTTATTGTGGTTTCGACAAAAAAAAAAAAAACATATCCGGGGTCGTCTTTTCAGAAGACTTTTCTTCAAGGTCAACCAAAAATAAATAAATGACTCCGTCCGTTTGGATTTCGAAGAGACGACTTCATCTTTACTGTTTAGAAACTTTGGTTCAATAGAATCCTTGTTAGCTGATTCTTCTATCAAGGAAATCACGATAGGAAATGCAAACCCTGAAATATTGTATCAACTTGGATTATAACTTATATTATTAGTTACATAGTGTGCTAGTGACCTAATGCGATATATATAGGGTCAGTAAATTCCATAAGGGGTGAGAGCGATATGGGGTCAGTAAATTCCATATGGGATAAGAGCGAAGCTCGAATCCCCATATGCAATTTACTGACCCCATATATATCGTATTAGGTCACAAGCACACTATGTAACGAATTAATCTTAACATGTGGTATTTAAACTAGTGGCCTATCAAAGTCAAGTCTTCAATACCGTTAGTATTAAGAACCTACTTCCATTGGTCTATACAAAAACAAATGCCAACAATAACAACTTGTTAGCTTTAAATGTGTTTTATGAATTTATTTCAATCGTTCACCATCAATTTCTTCATCTGTTGAAACCTTTAAGATTTTTCCTCAACACCGTGTTGTTTTTATAACGTAAAACCACTGCTAACCGTTTGTTGAAATAAGCCCCGCCTACTACTGAGTCACATAATCTTTTTGTTTCCCAACAGGAACTCAAAAGTAATCCGGACCTTTTATATCTATAATGGGGTTTAAACTGTCAATCCAGAAATTTAATCATAACTTAATATAGTCTAAGTTACTTTGGGTATACTTATCTTGTTTTGTTTGAAATATTTTAAATAAATCGTTCTAAATAGAAAATAATGAAAGAACCCTTTTAGGTTCCTCCAAGAAAAATGTGAACAGTTTGGAAGAGGCAGCTCTGAAATATCCAGATTTAAGAGATTCTTATATCGCAAAAGCAGAAAAGTCGAGAAAATTCTTTGCAGACGCTGCTAACAAAGAATTGGTTGTGCAATGTTTAGAAGAAATCGAACAGAAATGTGATCATTTAGAGGAATGTTTGAGGAAAAGTAAAAGTAAGTAAAATAAAAATACCTTAGTACAAAAATGTATACTATGATTACAAAATTTGTTGAAATAAAATTTTTTTTATACCCCTGCAATTTTATAGCTAGGAATAACCCATCCGTTCCGTCCGTTCGACCATCTGTCCGACTTTCCATATACCTTATCAGCGCGCATCCTCCTAAACAGCTAGAAGGCCATGGCGTTGTCAGTTTGTTTTCGATCTATGAGTTTGACTGTCCCTCTAGTATCTTTCGTCCCTCTTTTCTAGACAAATATTGATGAAATTTTACACGGTTATAGAACACTACCGAAGGCTGTGCATAAATTAATATAATCCCGGTTTAACATGATCGAATTTATCACTTCAATATACTAAAACTATTGCTGGGCGGGGATATCCTTTCTTGATTGACAGACTTCTGTTTTTGTTTTTTGTTTTTTTTAAGTTACTACCATGAGATAAAACCGGACGAGTATATTAATTTAAATAAAAAGTCCCACATGCACAAGAAATGCAATTCTGCATCAAAAGAGGTAGGACCAATTTCCCCGGAATATATTTGGAACCCCCTTCTTTTTGACGATCAATGCTTTTGAATGGGGACATATGGTTGGACCCCCTTTTAAAAATGGCTGGATCCGCCCCTGAAATCTGCAATTTTTTATATTTTTTTTTACAATTTTGGAGAAACTATCTCTAAAAATTAATAATAAGGATATTCCTAACTAAAACCAAATTCTCTTTTGGAATTAGGGCCATGAATTAATTTATTGGCCCTATCTCTTTGCTATTTTTTAGTACAAAAGTGGACTAATTATTTGCAGTCATTTGCGATCCAAGCTGGCGAGAGACTATACCTGAACTGAACTCTTTAATTGGCAAAGGTGGTCTTTCATTCCTTAAAAAACCATTCACAAGAAAGTATTCGTGATGATGGAAATATTCAACAATTGTATATCGGTTTTTAATATATTATTTTGGAAGTTAAATTGTGTGCAGCGTAACAAAATGTTCATCAGACTCGGAATATGAGCCACATGTTCAAGCTCGCCTTTCATTCGGATTGTACGCAAAAATTCACCAATTAGCGATATACAACTCCTACAAAATCTCGTGTGCACGATATTCATATATAAAGTTTCAATCTATTAAAAAAGGGTTTTAGTTTTCTGTGTATAATTTGGAGTTTAGTATGACGTCCATTATCACTGAACTAGTATACATATTTGTTTAGGGGCCAGCTGAAGGACGCCTCCGGGTGCGGGAGTTTCTCGCTGACATGAAGACCCATTGGTGGCCTTCGGATGTTTTCTGCTCTATGGTCGGGTTGTTGTCTCTTTGACACATTCCCCATTTCCATTCTCAATTTTATTGCATAATTATCCGCCGTTATTCTAGACATACATGAATGATCTATCGTTTTTATTATTTGTACATTTTAACAGATACTGTAAAGGGAGACGAGTTTTGGTTGACGGGTCCAGATTTTAACGCAGCCGACATTTTACTTGTTGTGTTCATGGACAGAATGGTGATGTTGGGACTTGAAGGCAGATATTTCTGTGAAACAAAGAGGCCATTGTTATACGATTACTTTCAGAGAATTGGTCATAGACAGTCCGTCCAGTTATTAAGGACCGAAGTTAAGAAGTTGATCTCAATGTTCATATATAATAAAATTAAGGCAGCAGTGCCTTATGTGGCTGCTCTGGGTTTAGCAATTGGATTAGGAGTCTGGTTCATGAAGAATAAGTCAGAAATTATAAATTCAATTGTAAAAAAATAATAAATTTAATTATGCAGTATATGATTTTGAGCGACCATTTCAATTTAAATATGCAGTATATGATTTTGAGCGTCCGTTTAAATTCAAATATGCAGTATATGCTTTTGGGCGTCTGTTTGAATTCAAATATGCAGCATATGATTTTGAGCGTCCGTTTAAATTCAAAAATGCAGTATATGATTTTGAGAGTCCAATTTTAAGTTCTTGCTTTTTCGGTCGTGGTCTTAATTTATATTTCTACTAAAGGTGACAGAATTGTAAATGGAATCTATGTGATAGATTATTGTGATAGTATTTACTACATATGAATAAAATTAAAAGGTATACATGTATTGGTGGTAACAAAACGTCATCTTGGCCAACTATCAATACATATATTGATTTCAAAATAAGCTTTATGCTTGAAAAGTGATATCGATAAATCTTTATTAATATGATTAATATTGTTTCTAAAAAAGGCAATTCGCCCTTCATGAGTTAACCGTATCGTCCATAACAAGTCAACGTAATTTCTATCTCATAAACCACATTGTTAATAAATCAATAAATAGACAAATGTATAGGACATTTGAAATATCTTTCTTACAGAGGGAACCAGAATCGAAATCCAGACACAGTAACCGAACAAGACAAATAAATTGCCAGTAAAAAGCAGAACACAAATTAAGACTAGCTAGCTTTTCATTCTCAATTCGACGTTTCAGAATCTAATGCATTCTGGGTAATATTTTCAAAAGCGTACACCAAAACGTTGTGATTGGTTTATTAAAACGTCCTAAACAAAGGAAATTCAACCAATGACGTAACGTTGTATTCATTTTGGTGTATGAACAATGAGATTACCCATAGTCCTTTAGATTATTAAAAGGCGTCTTTGTAGTGATGACATAATCAAATTATCCGTCAAAGGTTATAGAGCTTCTCAAAATCCAATTCTTAAGGGAAAACAGAGGCAAAAGATTCAAACTCATAAGTCGAAAATAATCGGACAACGCCATGGTTAAAAAAGGGGGAAAGACCATAAGACAAACAACAATCCACAAGACACAACATAGAAAAACTAAAGACTGAGCAACACGAACCCAACCAAAAACTGAGGGTGATCTCAGGTGCTTATTGGCGCATTTTTTATATAACAAATGCATGTGTTTTTTTATCCCCCTGACACATTGGATGTTTATCCCTCCCTTATAAAACCGCACACAGTGATTGAACAAAAATCATTATAATTTCCTCTTTATAGTAGACATATTGTTTTTTTTTATAAAATTTTTAATTAAACTGTAGCAGGAAGTCAATTGGGACAAAAAGAAAGAATTGAAGGTAAACTCCTAATAGTGTTAGCTTTATACATAATATTACCCAAAACAACTGGATGCATAACACCACTTATTATCAAGTTCCTACTGGCGGAATGTTTATGATAGATTTAAGTAAAATGTTTCTACATATTAATTTTATCTATATAAATGCCCATAAAATGCTCGCTGGTTCCAGCTAGATACGACCGCAGAGGTCGAACCCTGAACAATTGGGGCAAGTATGGACACTGCATTGATACGTTTAATTTTGGACCCTTTGGACCTTAATGTGGCCCAATTTGAAAACCGGGCCCAAAATCAAAATTCTAAATTACACGGTTAGATTCGGCATATTAAAGAGCCCAAAGAATTCAAGACTGAATTAAACCCCATTGAAATTGCTCAAGAAATAAGCAATTTATACAAAATATTTAAAAAAGTATTGATTTGATCCTTTGTCCCAAACGGTTAAGGCCATAACCCCCAAAATCATTCCTAACCTTCCTTTTGAAGTGTGGAACCTTGTTGTACAATTTCATAGAGAACCATAGACTTATACACAAGTTATTGTTCGGAAACATAAAAATCCTAGTTTTGTGTGCCCCTTTTTGGCTCCTTATTCCTAAACGGTTTGGGCCATAACCCCAAAAATATATCCCATCCTTTCTTTTGAGGTATGGAACCTTGTGGTACAATTTCATAGAGATCCATACTCTTATACTGAGGTTTTTGTCTGGAAACCAAATGTCTTGGGACGACGACGGCGCTGACAACATGATATCATTATACGAACGCAAACATTTTGCGGTCGTATAAAATTTTGTTTAGTATTGAAGATATAATGTTCATTGAAATCCAAGACGTCACATCAAACATGCGCATACTGAGAAATACACATTCCTCAAGATGGCACATCCATTAAAGTTGTCCCAAACAAGCTATGAAATGTCAACCAGACGTGTCACTCAAATAGTATCTGTCGGTCTTTTGCAGTAACATTAAAAAAATATGAATATCAGTCCAAGATTCAGTATTTTTCTAAGATACACTACATGTATGCTGACATGTTATATGTATTTACCAGTCGAATAAAAGTCTGGCTCGATACAAATATTGGCAATCATACATGTGTACCACTTCTCCTTATTTTAATATATAAGTTTCAACAGAACTTGTGTATTTTTGAAAACAAGAATTTTTCAAAAAGAAAAGAATCGATTGGTAGGAGAACTGCGAGTATAATTCAGAAATAATAAATAAGACTATTCATAAAAATATTTATTTAATAAATAGCTGCTTTAAACTCACATACTTGGAACAATGACATGCAACACATATACCTCAACCCTCTCCTCTCATTTTTCCCATGTCATGCATATACACACTCTCTCAAAAAAATTCATTACATATTAGACACTTTCAATCTAACTTGCACAAACATTCTCTCACATACAAAGACACACAAACTCCCTCTCTAACACTCATTCTCTCACTCAATCACACATACCGATACACACGTACTCCCACAACTCAATAATGAAAAATGAAGTTGTAATCATTTTAAAAAAGTCTACATCGTTCTCCTCAATGTTTATGTTTTAGTTACTTCATGTTTTCTGTAGATTTGCGGAAGAATCCCCATCTCTTTTGATGACACGGGTTTGTCTTATACCACCCAAAGGCAACTTCTGACTCGTCTGTAGCGACCTTCAACTTAACGATCATCCCTGAAAAAAACATTGGTCGAGTTAATTATTTTCCATCTGCATTCCTAAAACTGATAAAATTAAAAATACTTTATGAAAACGAAAGTAGTGTAATTTTATATAAAACAAAATGACAAACACTATCATCTGGACTTTGATTCTTGATTCTTTATAATTAATTTGGTATCTTCTTCTTCTAATTAATGTGTTTAAACCACCCACATATATATTATAGTTATATTATTCTTTTGATTGTTTTGTGTTGTTGGGTTGCAGTTTTATTTATGCAATTAATGAACACAACATTGTTATAAGGTTATAATTCTATAATGTTACCACGATATGGTATTATCGTCTGAAGCTTTTAAATCATTAAAATTGCGTGTTCTGTCCAGACCTTGTTCAAAACCCTCGTAATGAATTATGTATTTACCTTCTTTAATTTTGACAAAGCACTCGTTGGTTTTCTCGGACAAGTCTTTTGTTTTCACATAAGTGTTGCTTAAAAAATTGAACTGGTTGTCTTGGCAACTGACGTCTGCAAAATGAAATATTGGGAACGTTATTAGATTTAATCATTAAAAGTGGCCAACTGTAGCACAGGCATAGGGTAGTTGTTGTAAGCGTAGATGGCAATTTTGGTTTATGAAACCTTCTGATTTCTTCAGAATATTGTACTTATGTTGCTTTTTTTTGAGAGAGATTTGTTCTGAAATGTTAAAGAACTGGACCGACGATAGAAGTCTTCGAATACCGGTTGCCTTCCCAATAGACACTAATATAAAGTATTTTTGCGAAGACAATGGCTATTATAAAAATCCTTTTTCTGTAAAAGAAAATAAAAAAGTTGGACCACGAATACAGTTCCGTTAAGTAAATTACACATGACAAACTTAACAGAAACACGACGCATACAAACTATTCTTCAAAATAATGTATATATTACATGTACAGTGAACTAGGAGATTTAATCTCAATAAAAAAAAACTTCTTATCCAATACGTTGGTCTCATTTCGGAAACTAAAATAATTCATTAACAACCTGTCTATATGCTTGTATATACAGTTTCAGATAATCCCAGAGGCGGATTTAGGGGGGGGGGGGGGGTGGGGGGGGGGGGGGGCAGGGGGCCCGAGCCCCCCTTTTTGTGGGAAAAATTTGGTTGATTTTAAAGGGAATCATTGAAGCATGACTGGAGCGTGGCCCCCCTCTTAGGCAGTCAATGGGCCCACTCTTATGAAAATTTCTGGATCCGCCCATGATACTGAAGCCCTGAAGTTTGTGGCGTTATTCAATTAGAATAATCGTTATAAACAGTTCACTGACTTACTATTGTTATTGCGTTGTTCTTTTGACAGCTCTGATGGTTGTTCCTTCGTTATCTGTATGGCTGATTTGTAGTTAACATATTGTATATCTGGAAGTTTGGCTTTAAATCCGTTTGCAATGTGAAATTCCTACATGAAAATCCTTGAAATAATCAATATTGCAACCAGGACTAACAAAAAATATGTATCAAGAGATCGATATTTAGGTGACAGTTTTTTATGTATATACATATTGAACAACAAGTTTATTTTCAAGTTTGTTATTTTTTACTTGTGTGTTTTTTGTTGAACACACTGACCATCTTTTCTGTTGTTTTTGTGCAGTTAAGCTGCTGTCTCATTTACTTATACCATTCATCCCCTGTCAGTCAAATTACAATAGATTTAAATACTTTTCCAGTTTTCCAGGGAAACTTTAAAAAAACTTCCAATATATATTTTTTTTGTTTACCACACGACAAAGAAGAATTTGGACACCTAGGCTGGAATAATTTTGGAATAGTTTTGAAAGTTTCGCTACTTGGTTTTGATACAGAGCATGTGCAATGTTAACACATGTGAGGGAAAAAATCACTTTTGTGAAATTAAATGATAACTTTAATCAGGATAGACTTTTGTGAAATTAAATGATAACTTAAATCAGGATAGACTACCGATGGAAAATGTGAGACAAATACCAAAAGCTACACTGAATAATATTGTTTGAATTTACCTGTGGTGAACTGAACTGGTATTTGGAGCTAAGTTTTTCTATAATTGATTCTGCAGCCAATCTGCAGTCAAAGTCGTCAATGTGTGGAAGTGCTTCATAGAGTCTACAAGACAAAAGAAAGTTAACCAGGGAACTTTTATATGTACCTGGTAATTGATATACTTGTATATTAAAAAACTGTCTAGCTGCTTTTATTCCTTTTCTTTTCTTTGATATTGGTTTGCTTACCGGAAAAATCATTAATTTCGAATTTACTTGCAAATAACATTAGATAAATTGCAGCGTTTAATTATTTTTTTCTCGACCACGTTTGATTAATATTATCATATTTTTGGAAATAAAACGCCATCATGGTAAAAGAAATTGAACCTTTTTATTGTTCAAGGTCGCGCTTAAACAGAGGCGGATTCAGGTTTTTCAAAAAGGGGAAGGGGAATGGCGGAGTGGTCCACTGAATTTTGCTAAAATAACTTACTTGTTGGTGTGTGCTGCTAAAATATATTTCATAGACAACAACCCACTGTGTATACGATCTGCTAAGTTGAACCTTATATCGTCCAATAGGTCACTTTCAAGCTAGATAATATATATAATATTGAAATAATATTAAAAAGAATTAAAAACAAAATATGTTAATTAACATCAAAAAGATCAGAAACAATGATAATCCGCGTGTATTTAACTATACAAGTTAAAGTATAAATATATTATTTTCCGCAGATTTTGGATTTATTCTACACCATGTATATATTATATTAGTTTTCAATTTAAACAAGTGGTTTTCTTTACCTAAAGTTTGTTTTCATTCAATAAAACAATTGAGCACATACTGAGAAATTGTTGATTGGTGTTCAATGCAAATCGATAAAAATGGTTGATTTGTGCTCTAACAGTGGGAATCATGGAAACATTTAGTCGAATCGCATGAACCAATAAACCATTTCTCAGTTATTATATCACTTTTCTTAAATTGTACAAACTGTTACTACCATTATGTTCTTCGATCGATAATGGACTCTAGATAAACTCCTCATAAAACGATTAAAAAATTTTGAACACATTAAAGTTATATCGACTCTTAATTTGTTCTGCTAAACTAACCAATCTCAAAGCATTTCTCGTCATTTTCTCTTTTGTCAGCAAAGTTTGGTATCTCTTGGCTGTTTCGGCTGCTTTCTTCTTTTTATCATTTAGTGTCGTCTGTAACTGTTTAATGCTGTCATCTCGGGATTTCAGGTTTTTATTAGATAGCTTGTCCGCCAGGTGGTTTCGTGACATCTCGGCCGTCTTCAGGCATAATTCGTACTTCTGTACCTTACTGTCAGCAATCCAACACATCTTTAAATGTAAAACAATTTTAATAAATATATTTAGTTGAAAGCATAACACACTTCATTTTCTAATAAACTGCTGGAAAAAGACTAAAGATTATAGAGTATAGGAAAAATGTACATTATTTTACAAATAGTATCAGGAAAAAAACAGAAGCTGTATTTTTGGCCTTCCAAACATAATTCAGTAAAAGTCACCCGAGCAATATTAGAATTATCAAAATATATTACAATTTTGGAATACATCACTTGAAAATAATTAAATTGAACTACAAAATTACAAAATATGTTATCACACTTGTGGTTTGTGCTGTAAAAAATTACCTCTTGTTGTCGTTGAAGTTCTTTGTAAAAGTAAGCGTGGGCTCTCATTAGTTTATTCATTTCATCAACTTTTGTATAGTAGTCTTCGGTTTGTATCTGATCAAATCTGAAAATATGCCACATATTATGAATTTACAAATCTTATTTTTGTTACAAAGCGCATGCTGGTCAACACTTTTGTTTATTTGAAGAACTCTACACGTTTGTATGAAATTTGTATATGCATATAGATGATCTTTGCAAGAAGAAATAACTTGTTTTTTGTCTTGTTTAACGACATGTGTGCTAAACATTTAGCAAAGAGTTCCACTATAAACTGGTGCTAGAGACCGTCTTGAACTTGCAGTGAGATGAGAGTTTTAGCTCTATGCCAAAGGCCTTATTGTGACATTTAGATGAAGAACAGCAATGAAAGCACTGTTTTTTTGCTTTTTTACATGTGCGTATAGCGATTTTGTGCCATGAATTGATACCTATTTTAATCATCCTTTTTGTGTAACGGAACCTTTTAAACAGTGGATACCTGAAAACATGTATACACTGTTTGTATTATCCAAATCAAACAACTTACGTTGGTATTGGCAGAATACTGTCAGATGCTGAAACCATTTTTACGAATTTGTTCTGGATTCTTTCAGCAATGGACTTCTTACTACTTTCGCTAGCGGTCTCATGTGCTCCAACAATACCCAACACCATCTCAGACAGTAGATAAAACAACTTGTTTATTTCTGGAAACTCTAGAAAAAGAAAAATTATCCACGTCACTCAAGTGAATGTGCTAGAAACAACATGCATATCCCTTTTAACCAGTTGTTGTGTCACTCAGAATTTATTGATATAAAATTAATAAAAAAAAAAACTTTAAAGTTAAATATCGAATTACAAATAAGAAACAATGGACATTCAGAACGTTTAATTTGAATTAATTTTAAAAAATTTGATTAAGGCCATTACCTCGGAAGTGCTAGTCGAAAGAACGATTCGGTTATGTTTACATAAAAAAAAACACTGCTTTTAAATTGTACTCTGTTATATGTAAAAGCGCTGAAGTGTATACCTATGGAGGAGTTTTATGTTATCATGTCTCGGTTTCTTTTAAGTCGAAATATATTTTGCTTAAATTTTGATATTTTTCACCTCTAAAAATAACCTAGTCCTACCCATATTCTGTCTGTATGCCATCATCCTGTGCATGATGCTTTTTATTTGTTGTCTGGGGAAATCTGCAGTTTCCGAATTGAAGTTGACCTCAAGGGACTCACTTATTGTAGCAAAAACATCAATTCTGGAAAAAATATTAATCATGCTTGACACCAAGTGAAAAACTTACTTTACTTTTGAAGACGATCTCACTAATATGGTGTTCAGAAATTGTGTTTGTGTTCAAACCATTAGGCATGGTTATGTGACTTTAGCAATTAATTGATTAAATTTATTAAATAATAACAATTAGATAAAATATTATAACCTTCCACATAAAAGTAGGCCTTGGAAAAAAATAAAGCGGACCGTTAAAAGTAAACGAAAGGTAGATTCCTAGTGAAACTATATAAAATCTCCGAACATTTTCAATATAAAAACTTACGTTCTGTGCGAAACAGATGTAATACTGTAAATATCCGGAAAATAGACACAATCCATTTTCATTTCTTTGATTTCTTTTGAAAAGACTGCTTCTCAGAATTTTCTTGCTGGTCTTTCCGTCGTAGTGAGGGAAAGATAGCCCGGATGGCGGGAAGATGTAACGTCATAATCTTGACGTATTCTTGTTGGACGTTAGAACAAAGGTACAACGTCACAGGTAAAGTTATTTTTAGTTGGTTGCTGGACAAAAATGTAAAATATGGCGAAATCTTTGCGACAGAGTAATTGTATAGTATTTTGGATTTAAATGAAAATGAGTATACATTTAGAAAGACTTTGCTGAACTGCATCTGAATAAACTTCCATATATATGCATCCATTTTGTGAAATAAATCTATAAATGTGTAAAATGCAAATAATTGTGTCATTAAAAGTTTTTCTCTTTATCATTTGCGATTTCATGAAAACCAGCTTAAAAAATTTATTAAAAAGTAACATGTTATATCCACGAACATTAAATTTTCCGTTCTAAAGACATTAAATGCATATATGGGTTCACTGTATTTATATTTCTTCTGTAAAAATCTGATAATCTCGACTTGAAAAAAGAATTAAAGTGTCAAAAATACAAAATAAGCGTAGCGTAAATTGAAAAGATTTGTCTTCGTTAGAGAAAGACAGTTGAATGGGAAAAAGAAATATATGGAAAAGGGGGAGGGCGGCGGAATCAATATATCGTTATTTATACATCAGACTGTACTGGTTACCGGAACTTTGGACACCAAACCAGGTACTTCGTATCTGAGAAATAGGCAATTTATGCACTCAATTTTAGAATTCATTCATACATTTTAGTATTATTCAAAATTATCTGTCAATATATGTTCTACAAGGATCACCAGTCCTTCACCTTTCAATTGATACCGTAATTACTAAAATATATTCTACATAGTTTGATATTTATACAGGAACTATTTAAACACGTACTTCTTTCCAGTATGTTCTTTTTTTACCGGGCCCGATTTGGTAATGTTACATTTTACAAATTCTATCCGAATCTTTTTGCAAAGAATTCTGCTCAAACCGGTGCTAGGGGCCGTCTTAAACTTGCAATGAAGTGAGAGTTTTTTGTTTTATTTTGCTTCGTGTTGAAGGCCTCACTGTGACTT